GAGTATGAGTTATGTTAGGGTACTCACACTATGAAGTAATTTATCATTGTACTAAAAAAATTTGGCAATTTATATACTATTTTTTTGTACATGGAGATTTTTTTAGGAGGGGTATTTTTTTTATCATTAGGAGGGGTGTGATTTTATCTACATGGGTAACATCACCTACATGGAACATTAAATACCACTAGTGCTCCATATGGGTGATGTCACACCCCATACAGATAATGTCACACCCCTTCTAATAACCAAAAATACCTTTATGACAAAAATGTTCCATGTTGAAAACAAGGATATAGAAGTGTCATTTATTAAGTACAATGATAAATTACTATATAGTGTGAGCACCCTAACATAACCCTATATATATATATGGGGATTGATTTCACGCAACGGTTGCATAGTAGTATAATGCAACCATCTTTAAAAACCATCTTAGAGACATTTGTTTAATACAAATTTTTAAATGTGCACTCTTCTTATTCTAAAAAACAATCGCAAAAAAGAAAATTTTGAAAAAACACCGTGGAAAGTGTTTTTCTAGCTCAATTAATATAAACCATCTACTTTACTGAGATGGTTAGATATATGCCTAAGAAAGATATTTTTATTCCCAAAATTTTTCTATAGTGTTATTATCATTAGATTAACAATGTTGAAAAAACAAACTGATATTGAATTTATTAAGGCCTAGATCTTAAAATTCACTAAATGGACGGTCGAGATTCATTGTTGGAGTGTACTAATTTTGACCAAATCTAGGGTGCAAATTGAATTTTTTTTTTGTAGGATTGAATATGAGGATGAAGAGAATGTGTGTGCAAAATTTGGGGTCATACAAATTCCAAAAACATGAGTTTCTAGAGGTGTGGTTGCATTATACTATAATACAACCGCTGTATGAAATCATTCCCCTATATATATATATTGCCCATAGGTTGATGGAACAATGTAAGCCCAACGACCCAGATTGAATCTAGACCGATCCAATGATTGTATTTCGTAATTGAATTTTACTTATTTTTTATAAATCCAAATCACTTGAAATTTGGATCGTCTATTATTAAAAAATAGTGGAATCTAATAAAAATATCAAAAAAATAATTACTATAAAATAAATTGACCAAAATACCCCTAAAATATTTTGGGGGTATTTTGGTAAATTTATTTTATGAAAATTATTTTTTAAATATTTTTATTAGGTGCGCCTTGATGAGAAGAGTCGATGCTCCAAATTTCATTTTATTTCAATTTATGTAAAAAAAATATTAAAATTATATTACCGAAATACAATCTTGACCGTCAGATCGGCCCATATTCAATATGGGCAGACCCTATATATATATATATATATATATAAAATCCAAAAAAAAGGGATTGGTTTGTAACGTGTTTTTGAAATTTTTTTATCATTTTGGCAAAGATTGGAAAGTGTTTTGGCCATGATTTTTTTTTTTTACATTTTTCTATCGATTTTGAAATTTTTTTATAGTATCCCTGCACACAAATTGAGTTTTTAAAATGCATTTTCTTTATTACTTTCAACTTCACTTGATGTGCTTTGTTTAATCATGCTTTTAAATATATTTTTTATATTTTATAAATTATTTTTGTATTTTCTAAACATGTTTTGGACCAATCAGGACCACCCTGATTAGGCTAGTTGAACATGGCAGTTTACCCGTGGCTCGGATCCAGCCCTGGTTTCTGAGGCCGGTTCGATTTTTTCGAACACTGCTTTGACCTTTTAATCACTGGAACAAAAAATTGGTACGAGAGAGATGGGAGAAACAGTTAATATGAGAGAGAAAGAGAGAGAGAGAGAGACAGAGATACTTTGTATTGGTTTCTATAGAGCTTGACAGCAGTGGCATGAGCAAGAAGGAGGTTATGGGCCACTTGGTATGGCTCAGTTGATGAATTGCCTTCTCCACATCTTTTCACATCAGTAGAGCAACGACCAGGTGCATTGTTACCATGATCATAGCCCTTCGTAGAGAAAGTCATTGGCTCATTTATAGTGATCCAATATTTCACTCTGTCCCCAAATTCTCTAAAGCAAATATCGCAGTAATCTAGAAAATCATCTCTGCAAATCATGGAAATGATGCTCATTGTGATTTATCAAAATACACTTAAAATATCAACTATTTAGCATTATTTTCAACTATTTCAACTCGTAATCATGTGCTTTTTTAGACTTTATGAAATTTAATAGAAAACCAATGAAGGGTTAAACAATTGATATCTTAGATGTCATCATCATTATTATCGTCAAAGTTTTTTTCTAACTAATTAAAGTCGGCTACACAAATCTCGATCTGTCATTCTGCTCTATTAAGGGACAACTCATACTTTATTGTTCATTTTAAATTGATAGTTGGTGCAATGATACTATTTGTCGAATTTTAGATTTAGATGGCCATGTTAAAGTTAAAATTCCCCTTGGAACACTCCAATTTATTACCATAATTTCTAGAAGTCATAATTTTCATAATAACTTAAAAAAAACTCAATTCTTTGGGAAGAAGCAAATTACTGCCATATAATATCAATTTTTATAAAAAAAATCCTTTTTGAAATTTTTTAAAAAACGTCTTAGATCTATTCTTCTTTGTTATTTTTGTCAATTTGCAATTACTGAGCAGTAGCAATGCATTAATATTGGTTTATCAAATGATTACTTCTTATTTAAATAATTCATACAATTAACTATTCTCCCCTTGCATATATACACTTAAACACACGTAGCCTCGATTTTTTTGGCTGTATTTTTGGGGTAAAATTGAAATAATACTGACCTTTTATCTTATTATTAATTTTAATAAAAAAAGCTATTATGTGTCTTTAACAGGGTCTTGTGAATATTAAGGAAACTTTTCACTTTATTAGGAACTCAGATTGAAGAGGGTGGTTAAAGAAAGCATACACAATCTTAGAACTCAAGAATCCTCCATACTCATCCTCTAATGCTTGGGGTGCATCCCAATGAAATAATGTCACAAAGGGCTTGATCCCTGTTTCATGTTATTTTCCATGAATTATTAAAAAGATGATAATTGTATGTGCCTTTGTGTCATAAATAATAATCGATTATTGGGGAAAAGAAGATAAATATGCATGATTGTTGGGCTTTTGAGTATTACCTTGATGTATTAATTCATTGATGAGATTGTTGTAGTATTTGATGCCCTCCTTGTTCACTCCTCGTAAATTCCCTCCTATGTATTTTCATGAAAAGTGATTTCAATATTTAGCATCACATGGTTTCATATCCTCACCTACATGAGGCATTAGTGTCTATCTTACATCAATAGACAATTTCTGATATAGATACGAGTGTTAAAATATCGATTTTCATTTGACTTTCAAATATAAAAATTCATATTATATTTGCAGAAATAGAGATGAAAGATTTTTGGTGACAATAGTTACTTCTATGATGAGATTTCAAGAAAATGTTAAGAAAGTATCTAAGTTTCTAAAGTATCAAATACAAGGGTGGTGGTGTTGTGTGTGGAAGCTCTAAACCCAATGACTTAATATTTGGCAATAAAGAATGAGAAATAAATCCTGAAATACATACAACAAGAACACAAAGATTGATGTGGTTCACCTAAGATGGCCACATCTACGGGCACGACAAACAGAAATCCACTATTATAGTGACAGTTACATCAAAGATTTTGGAACGAACATCGACAAAAAACCCAAGTCGAGCAAAACCCTTTTAAACCACTCTCCCTTCATTCTCTTCACTTCTAATAACCATTACCAACAACACCAGATAGAGACGTGAAAACAATGAGAAACTTACTTTCTCTCTAACTAAAAGGGGAACAACTCAAAATCTCTATGGGAACCGCTTTTTTACAAAAAACAAACAAGCCTCTCAATTTTCGATAGTCGAAAAGAGATGCCAACACGATGTTTCTGTTCAAATGAAGTTTTATTCTCTCTAAGAGGAAATTTGCATCTTATGCACAAGAGGCTCTAGCTCTCTCTATCTCCAGATGAACCACCATTCCCATATGGTAACCCAAATAGAGCACACATTCTCTCTCTAAAAATAACCCATCATATAAATAAGGCACACATTCTCTCTCTAAAAATAACTCATTATATAGAAAAAAGAGACTCATAAAAAAAAAGCTCACGTGATGACCTTTTCTATTCCTTCTTTTATGGGAAACTAATATTTATCTCTCTCAATACGGGTCTTCAAGTTCATCCTAATTCAAATAGAACTTATTATAATAACCAAGTCCTAAAGATTATCTAATTACTTAATAGCAATCTCATATAATATGGGAATATCTCAATCCCACGTATTATGTTGGTGGTTTTGGATAGTACCAAATCCAACAATCTCCACCTTGATATCAAAATCGCCTGCTCACTATGCCAATATCCATTGGATAGCTTTACAAATTCTTCATTTTTTGCCAAATAAATTTCTTCATCATTCTTGCTGAAAAAATAGTGACATTTTTCCACCTCAAACCTTGTATTCAAAACCTTATTGCCATACCGAAAACCCCAAACCAGCTCTGATACCACCTCGAACCTTGTATTCGAATACAAAGATTTACGCGGTTCACTCAAGAGAGCTACATCCACGGGCATGGCAAACATAAATCCACTATTCCAATGAAAGTTATATAAAAGATAATCTACTATTCCAATGAAAGTTACATCAAAGATTTTGGAACAAACTTCGACAAAAGACCCAAGTCGAGCAAACCCTTTTAAACCACTCTCCCTTCATTCTATTTACTTTTGACAATTATTACCAATAATACCAGACAAAGAGACCAACGAGAAACTTACTTTTTCTCTAAAAACTTAATTTCTCTCTAAAAACTTAATTTCTCTCTAACGAAAAGGGAACAACTCAAAATCTCTATGGGAACCGATTCCCTACAAGAATTTTTGGGAGTCTAAAAGAGGCACTATCATAATATTTCTGTCTAAAGGAAGTTTTCTTCTCTCTATGAGGAAATTGCATCTTATATACAGGAAATCTTTATGGGAACCACTTCTTTACAAGAATTTTCTGAAGTATAAAAGAGTCATTATCACAATGTTTATGTCCAAATGAAGTTTTATTCTCTTTAAAAAGAAATGACATCTTATGTATAGGAGGCTCTAGCTCCCTCTCTCTCCAAAAGAATCATCATTCCCATATGGTGACCCAAATAGGGCACTCATTCTCTCTCTAAAAATAACCCATTACATAGAGAAAAAAGACACACCAAAAAAAGGCTCACGTGATTTATGGGAAACTAATCTTTATCTATTTAAATATGGGCCTTCAAATTCATCCTAATCCAAATAGAATTTATCCCAATAACCAACTCCTAAATATTATCTAATTGCTTAATAGCAATCTCACATAATATAATATGAGAATATATCAATCCCACATAATTTGGGAATATCTCAATCAATCCCATAAAATATGAGATTTCCTTATGTTGGTGTTTTTGGATAGCACCAAATCCAACAGTTGTATCCTTAGTGCGTCGACACTAACAAACAAAACCATAAACAAGCATATCGATATTACCATATTACATATATTATTGTAGTTGAATTTCAAAAGAAAAGTTCATCATAATTATAATAATAATTTGAAATAAGTTTATAAAATGGTTAAACCGTATACTATAGAAGTAATGCGCACTTCGGAAATCTACCGAAAAAGGTTGGTCTAACATTGGAAAATGCTCATACAGATCATCTCGGCCTCGAGATGTATGATATGAAAAATGTATTTCATGTCCTAAAAATAATGTATCATGTAAAATATTTTATGGACCGTCTATTTTTTACAATTATAAAGTGTTTATAGATCTATTCGATTTGCATCGTATGTAACTTTAAATTTCATAATAAGATGTAAAAATACACTTTCAAGCTACCCTAACCATTTCCAACAAAATCAAGTGTATTATGCTCTCTTTGGAACATAGTTTACTTCTAGTTCCTCGGTCAGATGACCCACTTGGGAGGATTTTTTCAATTTAAAATTATTGGAACCACGTAAAAATCACCAGAAGATTGTTCTTAAAAGAGTAAATTTGAAATTTGAGTTTTCTAACAATTAGATCTCGCCTTCTAAAAATTGGATGGCTTCTATTCAATCCTAATACAATGATTTTTTCAAGTGCTTACATAGTGCAATTAGAATTTTTTTTATTGAGGTTAATTCATGTGATAAAGAGGTTATATCCCCAAAATTCAGGATCTTAAAATTAATCTTAAGTGAGGTTTCACCTCAGGGAGTAAATGAACAGTTAATACCCTAAGAGAGTAGCATATATTTTAACTTCGAGGGACAAAATTTGAAGGTACACCTTACTCCAATTAATTGAGGTTCACCCTATTTAAACTGCACTTCAATTATTTTGAATAGAGACAAAGGATCCTTGTAAAAGTACTTCTGGAAGACAGTGATGGCCGATAGTTAAGGACTTCAAGTGAATGGTGTGGCATCCATTTATGTCATTAGGGCCACCGCGCATTTATTTATTTTTCCCTCCTTAAAAAACTAAAAATGAGTAGGGTGGGGATGGACCCGGACCCGATCCGAGACCCAATGACCAGCAGACTCGGATTCGGGTATGGGTCCAAAAATTGGACCTGATAGGTTGGGTCCGGGTCCAAACATTGGACCTGAACATTAGTAGAGTTCGGGTATGGCCGGACTCGACCCGACCCGTTGTCACCCCCTAAAAATGAGGAGATTAAACTATGGCATTTCTCACATGCTAGCTTGCATCTTACATTTAGACTGAAAAAAGCTATAGGATTAAAAAAAAAGAATAAAACCACAAGAACATCTTTCATTATTTGGCATGGATGATGTGTCTCTCTAAGTTACACAACTTTGGGATATCATATTTTAGGCTGTTTATATATAAAGGTTGCAACCTTAAAATGTAGAAATGCGGACGCATCTCAAAAATCCATTAAAAAAGGTTGTACAAATTTTTTGAAAAACCTTGTGATTGATCATCTCGATATCAAGATATATAACTATGAAAAATAAAAAGATTTTGGATATCAGAAATAATGCATATTACAACATATTATCTACACCGTCCATATTCAAAATTTCCATATGTTTATAGATCTACTTGATTTTAACCATTTTTAAAATTTAAAATTTTATAATTAGATATAAAAATAGATTTTGAGATAATCTTAAGACTATTTTACTTCAAAATTATATATTATGATAAAATTTGAAGGTGCACCTTAGTTGGATTGTAAGGTTGCAACCTCATGGAAACTACACCCTTCATCTTTTGATATGAGATTAAAGTGAATAGATAACAATGTCATATGGTAAAAATTAGTATTAAAAAATCTGTCAATCTAGACCTATAATTGCCTCTTTAAATTGAAATTGGTAGGGATCAACCCAGTTCTTAGTAGAAACTCGGAAGCAGTCTAGTTTTGACATACTTGCCCAGATTTCGAGTCTATTAGGAATCGAGTGATCTAGATTGCCCAAATTGCCAGGTTCCTACCCATTTTTTATTATTTGTTTAAATTTTTTATTTTGGTAGTTGAAATAAGAACTGGACATGCGCATTAGATGCTTGCTTCAGTTTTTGGCAGGCTCCCTTGGAATTGTGAATACACCGTTTATATTAATCAAATATATAATATATACTTTTTTTTTATAGGAATCACAAAAGTCTTGACCTATGATAGTGATACACCCATAGGTCTAGCAATCATATTAGGTAGAGTTTGATCTAGACCCAACCAGACAAGATCAATGGGTTGAGCCAACCTAACTTGGACATATTGTTCTAACAATATTAGACCTGACCCACGGGATTAGGGTCAGGCCAAGGTCAAAATCTATAAAATTTAAAAAACTAATAAAACATATTGCATACATCATCATCATCATCAAAGTCTTTTCTCAATTAATTGGGGTCAGCTATACGAATCATAATATCTCATTCTGCTTTATCAATGGTCATACCTTCAATGAAGCCATAAGTCTTCATATCTTTTCTCATTACTTCCAATCAGTCATTTGAGACCTACCCCTTGTCTTTTTTTAGCTTTCGACTTGAACTAACTCGCTCTTACTAATAAGTGTTGTATTGGGTCTGTGCCACACATATCCAACCCACTTAAGTTCTAGCATACTAGAATCTAATAATTCCAATCATGCTTGAGCTTAACCCCGACCTTACTTTGACTTTTGAGTCCATATTTCTACACCAAAACTGGATTGGCTAGGTCCATAAGTTAAGAGTTGAAACGTTCAGTCAGGGTTAGCTTCGAGCTGGGTCGACCCAACCTCAACTTCTAGGCCCACAAGAATAGTGTAGAATGGCAAAAATATAATAAAAGTATTCACAAATTACTATTTTACCCTTGAATATAAATTGTTTTGGGAAAAGTACTGCCAATAAATTTATCAAATGGAATGTACATTATGAGAGCAATTATCTTTGTTAGAATACGCATTAGACGTCAAATTTAAATGGCTTGGGATGTGATATAAATTTTGACATTTTTTTTTTTTAGATTTAAAATCTAGACAATGAGTCACTCACAACCACTTAATTTGAAATCCGTCCAACATAAATAATTGCAACCACTTTATCTTAAAAAGTAAATAGTCTCTTTCTATAATGTTCCTTACGAGTGAAGAAGAGTTGTATGGCTTACTTGGTAGAATCCTGGACCAGGAGAGGGAGAATCTGTAGGCATTCAAACCCACTTCTCTGATCATCCTTACATCCTCCTGCAAACCCCAAATTCCATTTCATCATAAGTTAATATTATTATCAATTAATAGTCTAAATAAAATGGAAATGAAATGGGAGAAAACAACATTATATTGAAATTAGTGCGCAATTAACTAACGAGCAAGCTTTCTATTCTTCCTCTACAACATAGAAGTTTTATCGTCCCCCCTATCCAACCATCCTTTTTGAATGGAGGGCTAAGATTGCCCCAATCACAATGTCACATTTTTATATTATTTTATTTTTAAATTTTTTTCTATAAACTATTTTGACACCAAATTTTAGACGTCCATTCTTCTATTAAACTCGTACTAGCGAAAATTATAAAAAAAGTTCAATAAAATAAAATATCTAAAATACGATTGAAAATTTTAAAAGGTATTTTAGTCATTATATTTTATCAAATAATTATTCTTACTATTTTTGTATAGGTTCTCCCCCCCCCCCCCTCCCCCTCCCCTCCCTCCCCTCAGATATGACATATACAAAATTTTATATTTATATAATTTGTTTAGAGACAACTATAAATAAAATATTTTGAGATGCCGGATCTAACATCAAAAAGTGAGTAACTCCCTTGATCAAAATTGGATGCCCTTTATCAAAATTGAACGGCTGGATAGTAGGGGAGGATAGAACTTCTATGTTGTAAGAGTTGTAGGAGAAGCATAGAAACTTTCCCTTAACTATATATGATGAAAGTTTTTACGTTCTTTTCTATTTTGAGGTTTTTCTTTTTCTTTTTTGTTATGCACTTGCTCTGCAAGAGGAAGAACAGGGGAGGTAATATGAAACTTTCAATCACTTTTTTTCTAGAGAGAGAGTGGCCTAAACCTTGTAAAGGTGATAAGAATCAGCAGCAATGTCCCCATTGCTTCTATCATCGACCTTCTCTGCAAAATACCCAAAATCGAAAAATTAATTCTCTGCTAACAGACCCAAAATGTTGGGACAAATTTCTCTTTTTTGGGGGGTGAGTAAAATACCAGGAAAATCATGGGTATAAGTGTCCCAAATGCTAGGTCCTCTTCCCCCTTCTTTCACTGCTCCTTCCACCTGATAAGCTGAAGTTGACACCCCAAATGCAAAATCCGGTGGAAATTCTGACCTTTCTGGCGATTTTCCGGCATCAATTCGGGCCAAAAACAGTGAATATCCGAAGTATGTTACGACCCAAAGAAACCCATCAAGCCGCATATTTGTTGGAAAAGCTCTCCCTTTCTCTCTCTATCTCTACAGGGAGTGCCTTTTATAAAGGTAAGAAAAGGGTATTGCGAAGCTTTTACGAAAGGGTGTCGTTTTCGTAAGGTTGCAACCTTAAACGATCCAATTAAAGCCTATATCTAAATTTTATAATAACGTATAAGTTTTGTGTAAAAATTTTTTAGGATCGTGTCAAAATCTATTTTCATCATTAATTATAAAATTTTAAATTTTAAATATGTCAAAATCAAGTAGATCTATAAACATATGAAAATCTTGAAATAGATGGTCTAGATAATGTGTTGCAAGATGCATTATTTTGTAGATTCAAAATCTTTTCTTTCTTTCATAGTTATACATCTCGAAGTTGAAATGATCAATTGTAGGGTTTTTCAACATTAAAACAACTTTTTCCGATAGATTTTTGAGGTGCATATGTAGTTCTAAATTTTACAGTTGCAACCTGGTATAAACTTTTTCCTTTATGGCCTCTCTGCCCTCACTTGTTAAAATAAAATTTTGTGAAAAGGACGTTAGAGCAAACTGAATTAAAAAAAGTTTGCCTAGAGATAATGTTCCTGAGGGAATGCGGTCTCTGTTTACTCTCTTCGATAAAAATTAAATTAGGAATATCATTAGGATCCCAATTTAAAGATCCCAAATTTTGAGTATGAACGTGTAACATCCTTTCTTTTTCTCCTCCTTTTTTTTTTTTTCTTTTTTTTTTCCTTCGAAGTGCGATAGTTAATTTCATTAGATAACACTGCAATACTCAAACCAATAGTTTTTTAATGAAACTATTGGTTTGGGTATATTCTTTTCTCTCCCTCTCTCTCCTCTAGAAAACACTACAATACCCAAACCAATAGTTTTTAACATTGCAATCACCTTTCTCGATCTACACTAGTTTCCAATATTATTTTAAGCTCGCTTTCTCTTCTTTCTCCCCCTCTCTCTCCTCTATATTCTTTTCCTCCCTATCTCTCCTCTATATTCGAAAAAGGTGATTTCAAAATTGGAAATCTCTGTGATAGCCTTAAAATAAATTTTTATCTTTAATTATAAAATTTAAAGCTTCAAAACTAGTGTAGATCGAGCAGATCTATGAAAACTTGAAAATCTTGAAAATTAAAGGTCCAAAAATATGTTATAAGATGTACTATTTTCCAAAACTTCAAATCTATTTTTTTTTCATGTCCATGCATCTTGATGTCTAGATGATCAATTTGAGGATATTTGGACATCAAAACAACCTCTTCTATTGTTATTTTTAAGGTAGGCTCTAATTTGATTTTTTAGAGCAGGCTCTATATAAACTTTTTTCTAAAAACAAAATCCAATTGTCGCTTGGACAAACAATGTCCCTAGATTGAACTAAGACTGTCGGGTTCTTGAAGGGTGAGATCTAAGTGTTGAAAATGTCAAATTGCTGATTTTTTTTATGCTAGCTAACTATATAGTAACCTTAGTTGGGTACCAAAATTTTAAAATAAAAAATATAGTTCCAAGTGGATCTTTTGCCTGAAGTAGTAAGTATTAATATGCTCAGACAAGAACATAGTATATACCCTCAAGGGACATTTCCTCTATGGGATTGCTCCATATGCGTTCCCAAAGATGTGACAGTGACCATCATTAGGTTTAAGAATTTTGCTTTTCAAATTATTTCTATCCAATTTTGCATATGATAGCTAAGAAGTGTTTTATCATCTGTTATGCCAATAATTAACGTTTTATTGTATGATTTCCTTTATTTTGATCCACCCACCCCTCTTTGTTGGTTTGTTCTATATTCTTTACAAGTTTACAATTTGGTTTGTGCGCATGTGGTTATTTACCAGGGAAGGATAGGGTCTTATGTTTGGAAAAGTTTTTAGCGAGGGAGCTGGTTTATATGTCGGCTCTCGTTTCTAACGTTTTGAGGAGTGTTTTAAAATCCGGATCGTTGGGGTGGATCATCTACTCCATATATTTGTGGTGGATTACCGGATCTCTTATTTGGATTGATCGACATCAATAATTTAAAAAATATTTTTTTAAAAAAGAAAGAAGATAAACTAAGGTCGATAATCCAAGATAACGGAGAGATTGAAAAAGATGTCGTACATAAAATTAGACTTGGATGAATGAAGTGGAGATTGTATCTAGAGTTTTATGTGATAACCACATTCCATTGAGAGTGAAGGAGAAGTCCTATAAGATGGCTATAAGACCGACCAGCCATGTTTTTTGGAACATAATGTTGGGTGGTCAAGAAACAACATATTCATTGGATGGACATAGCTGAAATGATCATTTTGAGATGGATGAATAGCAAGGCAGGTAAGAATAGAATTCAGAATGAATACATATGAGAAAACTTAGGTGTGGCTTTAATAGGTGATAATACGAAGAAACATAGAATTAAGTGGGTAGACCATGTACAGTATAGACCTAATACAACACCAGTTAGGAGATACGATTTGGTTCAAGTAAAAGGTTCTAATAGGGCACATGATCCATGTGGCCGACCCCAAATAAATGGGATAACACTTGATGAAGATGAAAATAACGGAGGGCGTTAACCTAATAAATTATTAGACAGGACTTAAGAAAAGGGAAAAAGAAAATATGAAGGGGAGGTTTTAGGGGCAAGGATTGATCCCGACCGATTATTGATATGGATTGCTAATTCTCGTCCAAATTGGTGGGTTCTAAAACACTCGCTTGGAGTTTTAGAATGAAAGATATCCACACGGTAAGTCTACTTTTTTGCCTTTGATTTACAAATTTTGAGTTTCCAAGACTCTAAATTTTGTAGAGTAGTTTAGGAAACAATTAATTTGACATTTGGATTTATCTTCTGTCTCTTTTATCTTAAGATTTAATTTAGCTAGAGTCAAGTGGATTGGCTTAACGATATTTAAATTTAAATATATCACATAACTAGATGGATTGCCTCGAATAAATTTATCACATGATAAGATGGATTGCCTCAAACTAAGGATGCTAGTATTTTACCAATCAAAATAAATGTTAGGGTTTTGCCATCTCTCGTATTTAACCCTTCCTTTGAAAGCCCATAGGTGGCAAAATTAAGAGCATCATTTTATGAGGAACAATTGGGATGATAAACTCCAAGGATGGACAAAGTTTTTTCATTTGACTAAAAATGCCCTTGCCATCGAGAGAAATACCATTTGGCTGATTTTGTATCACTAACCCAATAATCTCCACCTCGATACAAAATCACATACATATCTTACTGTCATATCTGGTTATTCATTTGTTCTAAAATTTAAAATTTAAATATTTTAGCGAGCACTAAATGCCAAATAACCTCCATGAACATGTCTTGCTCATTTTTTCCTTCATGCTGATCTTTCTTGTGCAAAGTTATCTTTTTTCCATGCTCTAATCCTTGAGCTCTCGAGGGCATCCTACCTTCCTACCTGTTTTACATACAAACGTTTCCACACATCTAGAAGTGCAACCGGTGCTTGATCTCATAAAGATCCTTTGTATAAGTTATTTTTACATAACCTTCTTTATATTTATATCCCTGGTGAAACATGTTCATACTACTTAAATTTTAATTGCCTATTTTACTCCATTTTAATTTTTTTTTAAGGCGAAACACAAGTCACTTAGGAAAGCAACAAACAAGTGAATTAACAAATTTTACAAAAATCACGGCAATGATCAAAATTAAAACTAAAATAGCATATAATACTCTTGTTATATCGGCCTTCATTTCGTCAAATTGTAAATATTCGCTCGAAAAAAATTCATGAATTGCTTATGGCTTCACTTCCTCTTGATAAGGTCCCAAAGCCTCACTTACTCTACCTTTATCAAATATCATTACTAAAAACCGTAGCTTCTATGACTGAACCATGTACCCCTTGCTGAGAAGAAACTTTGTCTAAAACCAAATACACCTTTTATTGCACAATTGTATTCCTTTTCTTAGTGGCCCTGTGTGCTAAGCAGTCGATATGGGGTACCCTAGAGGGAAAACTCTCCCTCTCAAGAAGCTGGAAAACAAGTGAGCAGACAACTTGGGGTGCCTCTTCAAATTGTCCTTGTAATCAACATAATGGAGCCCAAAGCGTAATCTGTAGCCATTAAACCATTCAAAGTTGTCCACAAGAGACCAAAAGTAGTATCCCTTTAACTTCACTCCTTCCCTAGAGGGAACACATTTAACAATAAGAAAAATAATTAATGGCAGCATTATTATCTCAATAAAACCACAAATTCTAAAAAATAAATAAATAAATAAATTCTCCAGGACCATATCAGACATTCACACCCTTGGTTAAAACCCTACACTAAAGTACTTTTAGGACCTCAAATAAGAAAAAGAAAGCAAAAAAGGAAACTGAGATTTTCTAAGGGATTGTTTGTAAAGAGATCATTTAACTTTTATACATGGAGGTCACAACCATTCATACTTATTAGATGTCAAATTGAATGGCTTGGGATGAGTCACAAAGTCTGAGAATTTTTTTTAAAACTCACTCATTAGATGTCAAATTGAATGGTTTGGGGTGAATCACAAAGTCTGAGAATTTTTTTTGGAACTTTGTGTCTATCCAATAACACTATGACAACCACTTATTTTGATATTTAAGGGATAAAAAAAATTATGAGCTCCATGCACAAAAGCTAAATGGTCTCTTTGTAGACAATCCCAATTTTTTTATATGCATGCAAAAATAATGTCATAAGATTGAACACAAACCATTCAAGTTTTAGAAACTTAGATCTAAGTGTATGGACTTAGAATCTCTCATTCTTTCTTTTTTACATAAACATACTGACCTAGTAACTCTAAAGTGGATTATGAAAATTTAGTTAAAAAAGTCGTCTTAAGTTTTTACCCGATAGATTAAGTGTACAGTATGTTCCCACAAGAGTACACTATGGCAAAAACTTTCACTTAGTCACCCAAAATTTAACATTAGTCACCTCATGGCATCCCGAACATACAATAAATGGCTGTGATGATATTCTACCCTCATTGTGTCATGTAGAGATAGCTCCAAGGGCATGCTCTCATTGCTATATTCATTTATCCCTGCCAAAAGTAAATAACTCAATTAAGTAATGAATAAATTCATTTTAATGATTAATTAACATTGGTGAAAGCAAAAAGATTTGGTGGATTTCTTTCACTGAATTCCTTTGGGCATTAGTAGTTTCTGGTGCGGTTTCTTAATTATATCCATTAATTACCTCAATGCCAAGAAAGAGATACTTGGTTTGGTTGAGCACATATATTACACTCCTGGGAAAGCATGTTATACATCTACTCCCTCAGGTAGACGACCTAACTTAGGAGAAATTTTCAATCTGAAAATTTGAAATCCACCTAAAATTCACTAGATCGTCATTTTCAAAAGAGAAATGCTAAATTTCAACTTATCACTGCTTAGATCTCATTATCAAAAGATTGGATGGTCTCTGTTCAATCTTGACACATTAGTATTGAGACATTTTTCAAACACACATAGGGTGTTGTTTGGAAATTTTGTTTTTGTTGAGATTGGTGAGTAAAAAGGGTTATATCTCCAAAACTTAGGGTCATACAATTACTCATAGATAAGATTTTCTGAAGGAATAAATAGATAGTATGCTCCCATGGGAGCATGAAATCTTTTGGCTTTGTTAATTAAAGTTATACAAATTTTCTCTCAGAAAATAAAAAATAAAAAAATCTTTGTCTCTCTTTGGGAAAAAAGAAGAAGAATCTTCTCTCTGTTGTCCACACTAACAATTTAGGTAACCTTGGGCTCTTTTGTTCATATTAGTGCTTTAAAATTGGATTAGTGAGCTGGATCGCCCACACATCAATTTCAGACCTGGCCAACTAGATTGCCGATTTGGATTAGTGTCCACGTGGGTAAATATCGTAAAATTGAAAAAAGAAAGAAGTTTTGGGGGCTTTGAATACTAGAATACACATAAAAAAAAAAAGGTTAAAAATGGGGTTTTAGTGGGGGACTGATTGGTATCGATACTTGGCATGAACCTGATCAGTCCCAACTGATTCATAATCTGAATCGATGATTCTCTACCTGGATCTAACAATTCCTTATCCGAACCATGTTTTTTAAAAAACCTAATTCATATGGATCGAGGTTGAGTGACTCAACAGGCTAACGATTAATTTTATATAAGGTGACATTGTGACTTGTAGCTAATGGATTCAAAGGAGGTTTTCGAAGCATATCAATAAGCTAAAGCTAGACCTATGTTACGAGTTGTTTCATGCCATAAACAAATATGTACACTCAAGAAATCCATTCGGCATATGGATTCACATCTCTTGTATTATTGGAGCAGAAGCCACTTGTTTAGATTTACATGTGTCCCGAGCTATCATTTCCTATACATTGATGGGACAGGCTCGTGCCATTGAACACACCATATACATGTATCATAAATCTATATTGAATGTCATGTTGGATTTATAAAATTTTGAATGTTACATATGTTCTATAGGGTAGAATCAAATCATTAGTAAATAACTGATATATTATGGATACTAGACGAATCGAAAATCTTTTTTGTAAACCACTTATGGGCATGCTCATGAGATAATGGCAAGATACTTTGATACGTTTTAGCATGTTAGATAATTTGTATACATTTTGCTAGTTAATTAAATCAACTAATTAGTCAAAAAATCAATGTAATTCTATCAACTATCAAAGATTTATTTAATTAATTAAAGATTAATCTACTATACTATCCACTTTAGTGATGCTTTGAAAGACATGTCAAATCGTTACTATCCAGCTAAAATGGATGATGTTGCTTACTGCATAAGGTTGTAACCATATAAAAACTTTTCCCATCCCTTTTATAATCTACTATCATCTCTCTCTCACACACAGGCCCACATATGTTTTTCTTCTTTTTCATTTGTTGGGCTACTTTTTTACAATTAATTATTTATTTATTTTTTGATCACTTTCAAAAAATATATTTATTTATCTATTTTTTTACCATTTTCAGTGATATACATAACCGGGTTGTTGTACTTTTCCGTCACGTACACCAAGAGCTCTTTGATACCAGGTGGGTATGAGTACAACCAAAACGAGCCGCCCTGTGAAACAAATAAATAAATAACTTGGGAAGATGCGAGTAAATATGAGAAAATTATCAAAATTTAGCTATCAACTATTTGACATTTTATTCTTTTTCAACTATTCCAACTTATGGGCATGTTTATTTTGATGGACCCTTTAAAATTAAATCAAAAGATAAAGATAAATGTAAATAGTTCATCTCAGAGAACTTCGGTAAAATTCCCTTAAATATATGTAAGTCATAGTGAAGTGATTATATTATAAAAAATAGCTCTAAAACTAATTACCAAATTTCCAAGAAAATAAGAACATTAATATAGAGAATATGGAGATATACCTTTGGCCCGATAGGGATGCCATTCTTCTCCACTGCACATCACCAAAATAAGTTAAAGGTTGAATTTGTAACATTAAATTTCCTTATTGAGAAATATTGTGGTATTTCTTAACGTGCTTCTGACTGTATAATGCACAAATATGAGTGTTTGAGAGAGAGAGGTAAATAGTTCATTGCTCTGAAATTACTTTCAAGTCGTAGAAACCAATTAAAATATCGTGGGGTGTTTTAAATTCAATCAAGAAATTGTGATGTTTTATATTATGGGGATTTTTTTTTTTTTAGAATTTTTTAGGTAGAGATATAGACACTTGAAAGCATTCTATGACATGATAAATATCAAATAAAGTTTTTGCCAGTATTTATCTTATTGTGTTTTTTACGAAAATTTATCAAAGATACATATTTAAAATTTTACTCATTTGCTTTTATTTTGTTTCAAAAACTCCTATCAAAATATACGTGATTGTGAGTTGGAATGGTTGAAAATGGGTAATAACTAATAAGTTCAATAGTTAACAAGTTAAGTGCATTTAGATAAATTTCTACCCTTTTTTAGAATGTTCTAGGCAAAGGTACAGACAATTTAAAAAGCGTTACAGGGCTTGATTCAAAAGTAGAAAAACAAATAATAAAACTTTAGGTGAAATACCTCTTTGATCAACATGAAAATCATCCCAATAGCTGACTGTTGTTGATGGATCCGGAATATTTGCAGCATAACATGTGGTATAGTAATTAATCCCAATAAAATCATATGATCCTCTTAAATTATGAGATTGATTTTTTGTAAATTTGGGTAGTCTTTCCCCAACAATATTTCTCATTGATGATGGGTAATCGCCTCTTGTTAAGGGGTCCATGAACCTACAACATAAAACTGGGTTACAAATCATAGACATATAAAAACAATTATAATTAATGGAAAGAATCCATATGCTATTTAATTTTAAAAATGGGTGAGGTTTTTATATACAAGAATGTTGCACCTCTAAATTTTATCGAAAGATGTAGTTTTGGTGTCTGGAACCTTTCAACGACTTGAAAATATATGTTCAACCCTAATTATATAATTTAAAATTTGAAAAGGTACAAATCGAATATATCTATGAACACTTAAAAATCTTAAAAATAGACGGATCAGATCACTTGTTACAATATGCACTACTTTTAGGATTTGAATGTTTTTCTTCATCATTATATTACATCTCGAGGTGATCAATTGGATAGTTTTCCAACTTGGAACACTCTTTTCTACTGGATTTTTGAAGTGCATCGTATTTCTATATTATAAATTTGTAATCACCACTTGTATTTTATATTTTATGTTCAACCCCATTTTTTATAATCTTTATGGTATTTTCATTTTTTTTTTCTATACATCCGATAACATTCAAATTTTGTATGCCCATACTTCTCACATTACCATACCCATATAAATAATATAATATATATATAAATAATTAAAATAAAATAATTAAAAATTCTCAACATATTTTAGACCTTTAGCGTATCACTCTTTCGGTTTTTTTTTTTTTTAAGTTTCAATATTTGTGAAATGATAAGAAGTATGGATGGGACAAATTTATGCTTAATTTAATATATAAGAAACGATTACCATTAAAATACAATACAAGCTCTTATAAAAGAGATTTGAGTGCAAAATATAAATGCAGAAGACTATTTTAATTCTATCAATTAATTGGGATTTCTTAAGTTGTACTAAACATAAAAATAAAATATAAATAGAAAAACCCAGTAATTGCATTACGTACCATCCAATATTGAAATCAATGGCTCTTCTTGCAGCCGTTTGGTCGTCATTTGAATCAGAGAAGGGCAAATACCAGTTGGAATTTAGAGTAATCCCTATAATACCCTTTTGAGCTTCCTAGGTGAATTAAATTAGAAACATCAATATTAATTACAAGAATAATAAGTTATGATTTTTCTTGTAAAAAAAAAAAAAGAAGTTATGATTTAGCATATAATTTGGGAAAGAGGAAGGCTTGTACATGAAGTTTCAAACTAGCATGATAAAACAAAAAGAGAAGAAATAAGCATGGATGCAAATTGCAAACCGGTCATTTATGTTGCATATAGGTCGGTCTAGGTCAGGCTACCAATAAAGTTGTCACCTAAAATGAATTGTCATTCTATTTATGCTTCAGTCAGATCTTATAAGAAGATGGATGAGGCTTTGTATAAGGTGTCAACCTCAAAACTATGGTCAAAATACAGTTTCGGTGCTGTAAATTCTTGTAAATTCTTGCGATGATATGAAAATCTATTGTTGTCTCTATTTATAAAATTTAAAGTTTAAGAACTAATGACAATCAAGCAGATCTATGAATAATTGAAAATCTTGAAAATAGACGGTCCAGATAATATGTTTAGAGAATAACTATTTTCAAAACTCAAAATGACCACAATACCCCTATAATGTTTTAATTGTGTTTTGGTCACTTTAATTTTTTAAAATATTTGTTTTATATTTTTTGTGTGCATGATGGTTTCAAATAGATGTAGCTAAAATTTCAACTTAATCCGATTTATAAAAAAATATTAAAATTTAAATAGTAATGTGCATTCTCAACCATCTGATCACTATGATGATAGAAATGCAAGTCAAATCAAAATTCATTTTAAGTGACAACCTATTGGTAGCTTCACACGTAAATATACGCACATGCACATGCACATGGATTTAATCTATGGATCGGACTCAGACCCAGATCCAGATCAGCACCTTGTTTGAGAGCCCTACAAATAAGATACTTCCTTGGTCTGCATTCGACAATACTATCACTCTATAAGTTTAGGCAATTAACAACAAACAACTCAATTACGTATGACGGATACGTATTTGGTGAGTCAACCGATTCACCTACCTGTGTTGCAAAATCCATTTTAAGAAGAGAATTTGGATCCAAAATTTTAGGTTTGCTAATCTCAACCTTGATGACAATCATGAGTTTAGATTTTCTTTTGTTGGAAAAATAAATTGATCTCTTTTTTTTCACCATCCATTTTGGCTTGTAGTGGATGCACCCTTTTTTCACATCCATCTTAGATATCACTAGAGATGGACGTTAATGAATCAACAGACTCACCAAAATAGGTGAATCAGCTGACTGACCAAACCCATGTCCATGGATGAACATCTTAAGGGATTGTCCGCAAAAAAACATTTTATTTTTTGTACAAGGAGGTCACTACTACTTTTGTCCCTTAAATTTCAAAATAAGTAGTTGTAAGAGTATGATTGAGTAGACATAAAGTTAGAAAAAAAATAATCTCGGACTTTGTAAATCACCCCAAACCATCCAATTTAACATCTAATGAGTAGAAATAGTTGTGACCTCCTTGTACAAAAAAGAAATAATCTCTTTATAAACAATCCCAGATACAAGGGGAATATGGAATCTCACTTTGTATTTGGCTATGTAAAGATTGAAGGCAGCCACATGAGCAAGAAGCATATTATGTGCTACTTGGTAGGGTTCAGTTGACGAATTTCCATTGCTGCAATTTCCTTTGGAAGGTGAACAATGGCCTGGTGCTGTTTCTCCTTTATCATACCCCATTGCACTAAAACTCCAAGGTTCATTAATGGTGACCCAGTGTTTCACTCGATCCCCAAATTCTTGAAAACAAATATCAGCATACTTCTCAAAATCCACACTGCAAACATTTGTTTATACAGTACCAAAATTAGTTGGCAAAAATCGAAGCCATCCTAGAGAAAGGAGACGTTAAAAGGCGAAAGAAAATAAAAATTCGAGAGAGCATACAATTTTTTATATGAAAAGGGTTTAGGATTTGGGTTTTTTAGGCATGTTTTGAAAAAAATGGATTAGTGTATCATCCAACCACCAATCGCGTGTCAGATTGCCAATTCAGATATGTATAATCCAAAAAATATTAAAACTTTATAAATTAAACAATTGAAATAGGGGTTATGGGTTGTGATTTACTAAAATACCTTAGAGGACAACTTTAAAAAAAAAAAAAAAAAAAAAAAAAAAAACCTTCCTTTTCTTTTTTTGAAGGAGGAGGAGGCTGGGGCGGGGGCGGGGGCGCGGGCGGGGGGAGGGGGGGTGGGGAGGGAGGCTATCAAGAATCGGTTTGATCCAGCTGATTCTTGATTCAGATCATGCAATTCTTGATTTTGACTACTATTTTAAATAGGTTTTACTTTTAGTATATAAACATCACAATCATATTTAACAATCAAGTGGGCATATTTAAAAAAATTTAAAAAAATTGACCATGCAAAAGTCCGGAAAAAAATTGTCTATGGATCAAACAGATGCCATAAAAAATTTAGAAGCTCCTGTGTATGTGCTCCAAGAAGAATACGTACACAATTTTAGAGCTCAAGAATCCACCGTACTCATCTTCAAGTGCTTGTGGTAAATCCCAATGGAATAATGTCACAAAAGGCTTTATCCCTGTAAATTGTATAATTTAAAGTATTTAATGAAGAAAATATTTGATAAAATTGCATCAAATCTAAAGAAAAAAAAGAAGATAAATAAGATTAGAGACTTGCTAGCAATACCATTATCTATCAACTCATTGATGAGGTTATTGTAGTACGTGATCCCCTCCATGTTGATGCCTCCCCTCAAATTTCCCTCTAAATACCAATAAAAATATAAAAGTAAATAAATGTAAGAATTTATCTGTTTCTTAAAAATATTTTGATCTATGAATGACCTACTTAGATGGCATATTTTATTTATCTATTAAAATTGAGATCAAATATTATAAAAGGCACTATATAATAAATTACAATTAACATGTGGAATTTTTACATTTTGATGTCAAGATGATCAATTAGATGTTTTTCCAACATCAAAATAAACTTTTTCGAAAGATTTTAGAGATGTACCTTAATTCTACATTTCAAGGTGTCAACTTTATATGAACTACTTTTTCCTTTATTGTAAATATCCCCTATATATTTTGTAGAATCTAAAAAAAGTGTCCTGGATATTTCATATTTTACGTTCATGTCCCAATGGTTTAGAGCATGTATAGTACTTTTGCTTGTGTTTTTCTTATAAGTTTGATTAGGCTCAAATTCTTCGTATCCATACTCCTCACCATTATGGACATGAAAAAAATAATTTAAATAGGTAAAATGATTAAAATGACCAAAATATCCTAAAAAATTGCACATGTATTTTAGTTATTTTATTTCTATTTAATTACTTTTAAGTTATTTTGTTAATTAATGATAATGATAAGTACAAACACAAAACATTTGAGCTCAATATAATGCCTTAAAAAAAAAAAGACAAAATTGAAAATGCCAAACACATTCGTAAAAACTGGGATATAAATGTGAACTATATAAGTATTGGGTATATTTTCAAATTCTAAAAAAATACAGGAGATGTTTATGTAATTTTTTCTTATTTTGTTTACAACATAAACAAAATGAACAAATTAAAGTTCGTGAGTCTCTCACTTGGTAGAATTCGAGGCCAAGAAATAGAAAACCTGTACGAATCCAACCCCATTTCTTTCACCAATTTCACATCCTCCTGCACAAATTTAAGGAAATTTTTTTATTTAAGGAACATTAAAATACATTATATGTATAAAATAAAAAACAAAAATAAAATCCAACCTTATATCGATGATAGGAGTCTAGAGCGACATCTCCGTTGCTTCCATCCTCTATCTTATCTGGGTGGCACATTTACAATATTAACCTTAAGCAAAAACATAATATAATATCATAGTCTTAAGCAAAAAAATCCTCTAAAAAATTTAGGTGAGAAATTGAAAAATCCCAACTGAAAGTCAATGATCTTCCACATACTATGGGGATAATCTTGAAATTTTTGACAAAATGTTGGCTGGGATCAAGGGTGCATGTGATTAGGGCTGTCAATTGGGCCCAGATGGCCCACGGGCCTTAAGGGCCGTCTTAGTTTCATGTTGGGCTTCGGCTGACAATTATGGCGAGTGGGCTGGGATCTGGCCAGGCGTGGGTCAAACGGTTCGTGCACGGGTCTGACTATAAAGTTTTGGCCTTGGCCCGAGGCAAACCCTAGCCGGTCCTTAATCCAGCTTGTAGGCAATCCAATGTAGATAGTGTTTCCAGTTTGCAAGCTTCGGATTAGGTAGAGAGTAACCTTGTTTGATCCATTGGCAGCCCTACTTGACCTTTTTCTAGAGAAAATGATATCCATGTGCATGAGATGGTAAATTTACTTATAAGATCTATTCGGTGTACATTATTTTTGAAGTTTTAAATTTTATTATTAGAGATAAAAATAAATTTTTAAGTCATCACAAAGATTTCTATTCCTAAAACAAAATCGTTTGACACTATTTGAAGGTGCGCTTTACTTTGATTGTTTAGGTCAAAGTCTTATACCAACCACGTTCTTTTTTTTAAAAAAGAACGGGTCTATGGGTTACCTATGGACCTAAGGGTGTATATGGGACCATAAATTTTGACGGGGTTTTACATGTTTTTCCTTTGATAAATTTCCTGTTTAGATTTTATATTTATTAATGAAATGCAAATTCTAAAACACTAAAGGCAAATGAACATCGTTCCCTGGTTGCAGCATCCACCATCCAATTCTAGTTAGACGGCAGAGATTTAAGGGAGTTAGACTCCACACATAACAACATTCCTTTTTCAAGAGAGACTCAAAATAAATCTCTCTTCTTAAAATATTTCCCTTGGAGAGAGACTCAAAACTTAGTTAAAACTAAGACATATTTCTTCTTAGAATACTTTACGCAACCCCTTTTATTATCTCCCTCTTGTACAAACATATCTCGCAATGATTTTATGCAACCGTTGCGTAATATGATACAACAACTTTAAAAAACCATCTTATGGCTATTTGTTTGATCCAAATTTTGAAATATATATTTTTTTTATTCTAATGAACAATCACAAAAAAAAAAAATTTGAAAACAACCTAGAAAATATTTTTTAAGCCCAATTAACATAGGTCGTTCATTTTGGTGAGATGCTTAGATCTAGGTCTTAGAAGGATTTTTTCATTTCCAATTTTTTTGGATGGCTTTATTTTCATTAGATAAGCAATGTTAAAAAAGGAAAAAAATGATTTTGAATTTATAAAGACTAAGATCTTGAAATTCACAAAATTAATGATCTAGATCCGTTTTGGGAGGGGACTCATTTTGACCATATCTAAGGTTCAAATTGAACTTTTTTTTTTTTTCTAGATTGATTATTGAGATGAAGAGAGTGTGTGTACAAAATTTGAGATCATACAAATGCCACAAATATGATTTCTTAAAAATATCGTTCCGTCATACTATAATATAACCGTTGCATTGGATCATCGCTTAA